GAACTTGCAGTGTGCACTTGAAGCTGCACTAAGAATTACAGCATTTGGCCTCCTCCTCAAATGGTGGAGTGAGTGTGTCCGTATGTTTGACGGTATCCCACAGCATCCTCCTTTATTTCTGTCTGCTCTCTGGGTTTCATAATTCCAATAGATGCATCTTAACCTTTGTGGGTCTTTTCTGCCTTCTTTTGAGATCTGGGTGGAACTGTGTGTGTGTCACTGTCATTAGTAATATTGTTGATCCCCTCTCTACCTGCCCTTAGTCTGGCTGTCACTGAAAAGAGATTACATCTGTTTTCACTATTGCCAGTTTTAATTTCCTTCGCTTCAAGTTTTATTTTGAGGTACCCATACGCTTAGGATTGCAAGGTCTTCCTTATGAACTGACCCTCTATCTCTTAGAAATATGTCTTCATAGTTTGGGAAATACTTTCTGTCTTGAAATATCTTGCTTTGTAAAGTTAATATATCCATACAGCTTTCTATAATCTTTAGAAACTAAATGGCATATCTGTTTCCATCTTTTAATTATAATCATTAACATAGTCTCTCTAGATATTTTAACCAGTTTTTAAAGTTACTTTCCTAGGCACAAGACTGGTACAGAAAGAGAGTTTTCTTGTGTTTTTAAGACTTCTTCATATATTGGGAAACATGTAATGGGAAGGTCAGCTTTTTATCTAATATGCCAATTTCTGCTAGGTAATAGGAGAGTTTAATCCATTTGCGTTATGTGATTATAAAGAAGCATTTACTTCTGCCGTCAAGCTGTTACTTTTCTGTCTGCCTTCTATATTTTTCTTCCCCAATTCTATTATTGTCATTTTTTGGTATTTATTTTTCAATGTGCTACTTTGAGATTCTTCTCTCTCTCTGAATATTTTTAAGTTGCTTGCTTAGTGGTTCTCTGAAAATGATAACGAACATTGTACAGAGCGGACACTGTGATCTGAATAAAGCCACAGTAGGGGTCACTGTCCACCCCGGGACACAGTTCCCACACCGGCAGCCTAGTGGAAGGAAGAGGGGCTCGGCCGGCTCACGGTTTCTGAGCTCTGGGTCTGTGGCCAGCTGGCTCCAGGGCAGAAACATCAGGGCAGCGGGAAGAGGTGTAGGATAGCTGCTCCCTGATGCCAGCCGGGAAGGGGACAGCAGGAAGGAGAGCCCGTAATAAAACCTGCCAGGTCCCAGTCCCCACACCAGGGAGGCCCCGCTCTCAGCTACAAACTCATTACTGAATGAATCCAGCGATGCGCACGGTGCCCTTGATCAATCACCTCTCAAATGTCCCTGTAAGATGCAAGACTTGGGGGACACTGTAGACCCACAGGATAACACCAATGTGAACTTTCTGCCATGCTCTCCTCTCCTACAGACTACGGTCCCTCCCCTGTATATTCCAGGTGTTTCCTTTTACTTTAAAGTATATAATTTTACATCCTGTGCCCATTGATTTGGCTCCATAATTACTATTTTATGCGTGAGCCTTTTACCTCACCTGGAGAGGGAAGAGCAGCTGCACCGCGTGAAGTAATCTCTGTGTAGCTGCCGACATGGGTCTTTATTATCACATCACAGTTCCCTCTTGGCCAGAACAGTTGCCTTCATCAGATACAGTGGGGCAGCTCGACTGGCAATGAACGTCGTCAGCTTCAGTTACCTTAAAAGATCTTCATTTCCCCCATTCCTGAGGAGTGCTCGTTCCCAGTCTGGAATTCTTGGTTAATAGTTTTTTCCTTCAGCCTTTCAGGCCCTCACCCGTTTGTGCTGGCCGTCACAGGCTCTGAGGAGAAATCAGCAGCCCGCGGCGCTGAGCATCTTTGTAAGGAGTGAGCCCCTTCTCTTGCTGCTGTCAGAATTCTGTCTGTCTCTGTTGATGTTTGAACTCTGTCTCAGTCTGAATCTCAGCACTTATCGTGCTGATAACATCAAGCTTCCAAAGAGGACGTATTTTTTATCTTCATCAGATTTGAAGTGGCTTTAGTTATTTCCTTTTCTTTTTGTTTCTTTTTTAGACAGGGTCTCGGTATGCAGTTCAGCTGGCCTTGAGCTCGCTTTGTAGCCCAGGCTGGTGTCAAACTTCCATCAACCCTCCTGCTTCAGCCTCCCGAGTGCTGGGGTTACAGGTTGTGCCACCAGGCCTGGCTTAAGTAGTTCTTAAATATTTTGTTTTTCCCATCTTTTATCTCTTCTGAAATTCCTCTGATGCATGTGTTGGTGTCACGGGTACATTCTTTCTCTTTTTTCTCTCTGCTCCTCAGACTAGATAATTTCAATAATCTCATCTTTACTTTTGCTGATTCTTTCTCTGCAGCTGAGAACTTGGTTGCTATTGTATTAATGAATTTTTATCTGCAAATTATTACACTTTACGCGCCTCAAATTGTAGGTGGTTTCTTTCTATAACTTATGACGGTTGATTCCCCTATTTTGTTTATGATTATCTTCCTCCTTTCTTCCTCCATCTTTTTCTTCAGTTCTTGGGCATTTTTAGGCGGTTGGCATAATGTCTCTGACCAGCAATTGAAACGAGTGGTTTTCTTCAGTATTGATGATGGAAGATAGATGTCCCAGCCCCGAGAAAGGGCTGTACTTTCCTCTTTGAAATCTACTTTGTGCTTTTGTTGTTGTTGTTGAAAACTTTGTCTCCTGATTATGCTACAATTAGAAATCAAATATTTCCTAATTTCTGGAATTATTACTATTTCTGATTTTTAGGTTTTTTTGTGGGAGAGTTGGAATGGAAGTGTACTGTGATCAGAATATGGAATATTATACTCCCAATATTATAAACTGTGATCCAAATATTGTAATTTCTCTTGTATTCCCTCTCACAATGCAGAAAAGTGTATCTGTAGTATCACTGAAATGTTTTTTGAATCCTTGCGAGTCAATTCCAATCTACCACCAGCTATCTAAACCACGGTAAGAGTAAAGACACTAAGCCAAAGCCTCTCCCTGAAGTTACTATCTGGTGAAGAAGGGAGTGGTTCAAGGATGAGTGACAGTGAGGCCAGCGGGAATTACAAAGCAAAGTGAGCTGATCCACCAGGTGGAGACCAGGCACGTGTGCTGTATGCAGGGAGGGAGATATGCAGAAAGGCCAGGCTGATAACTTGGTAGAGAGACAGTGTGAATGAGGCGAAGAGGCTGTTGCTTCAGTTTCTGCCATGTAAACTTTGTACCCTGGGAAGCCATAGCCTCTTATTCTGAGGATCGTACCCAGCTGACATCCCTGGAGCTTTCTGGCTCTGCTACCCCGCTGCATTCAACTGTTTAACCTGGAACACAATGCAGAGACAAAGGCAATTCTCAGTTGGCCTTAAAGATGATATATCAGTACCTTAGCTAGCTGTCTTTGCATTGCTTAGACCCAATTGAAGGAAGGATGAAGTAACTAGCCAGCTCTGTACGTCTCAGTACATGGAGACAGGACCGATTTAAATAATGTGGAGGTAACACTGCATTCAGAGCGCTGTCCACTTGGTGTTCTACAAAAGTGCCCTTTTTTTGATGATCATAAACTACTTTGCAGAAGGTGCTTTCCTTGCTACGTATGAACTTTGACATATGTATTTTATTTTCTCTCCAGTTAGCGAGCAGTTTAAGAAATATAGTCATAATTATCTGGCTCCATAGTAAAAATAAAAGAAGTTCTTTCCTTTAAAATCTTCTGATAAGCATCAGTGGCAAAAGCCACCACAGCTGAGATGACCAAAACCAGCATAGATTTCCATGTCATTACATCCGGGATCCCCCAGAGCTTCCAACATATTCAAGGACATTGGGAAGACAGTGATTCACTGGGACCTCCGTCAGCCCCTCCAGAATGTGGGCTGCTGTTGCCACAGGCACAGGGGCTGAGGACTGAGGAAGGCAGGTGGTTCATGTATCCTAGCCTGTTAAAAAGCTCTGTGACTTGGGGCTGTGGATTTAGCTCAGCAGCATAAGCGCCTGTCTTGTAAGCAGGCAGTTGTGAGTTCAATCCCCCTTACTAAAAAAAGGAAACACACACACACACACACACACACACACACACACACAGCTCTGCAATCCTTCCCTCCAGCCAGTACACCCAGGCTGTCATGATGTCTAGCTAGAGCCTGAGTTTCAGAGTAGTTAGCTATGCTTACTTTTCTGATTTCCTGGTTCTCTCTGAATGAAGGACCACCCTCTAGAAATGCTGCTGTTCCATTTTGCATCTGGACCTATTTCTGGTTTTCCATTAGAATCTACTGGATGTTTGCAGTATTCACTGGTTGTATTAGAGGAATTTTATAACGTGTACTGATATCTAAGTAAGAATCATTATCTCCTTCTATGCAACTTTAGTGCAGAGCCTTAGAGCTCCAGATAAAACTATCTTGATATTTTCAGTATTTACCACTCACCAGTTAGAGTAAAACAGATCAAACTAAAAGCTCTGTAATCCTGAAGGAATCTATGCAAGAACAAAGACTGTATTACACGTTGAAGTGTACCTGCATGTGCCTAATACTTCCTGCACGTTTTTTCTATCACTGTTGTTTATCCTCATGTGCTCCCTATTTTGCACAAGTCTCTTAGCTACCGATTACACTCTTAAGTAAACATCTTATGACTGACTGAATTATTACATTTTTAAAATTTATTACAATTCTCAAAGAATCTCCAGTTTCCCACTGTATCATCTCCATATTAAGATACTTCTGACTCTTACTTGTGCAATTGCACTGACTTACACATTAGCACAGTACAGACGCCACAGGGAACATTTGGTATACCCACCTTCTTACTGAGTTTTGTTCTAAAGCCTTTTTGTTTCCACATTCAGTAAAACGCTGGTGTTGAGAGATGGAGTATGCGTCCGTCAATGTCTTAAACCAGTAACAGTAAATTCTGAATTCTTTGTGTGCTGCAGTTAGGAATGTTTGTGGAATCATGATTATCAGCATCCAAGCAGATAAACAGTTCATCCCTGTGAGAGGTTACTATGATAAATAATTTTGACCCATTTCCAGGTGTTGAATCACTTACATTCTATCAAAGAGTTGCTGCACTGATCATCCATCTCCTCAGGTAAGCCCCGATATTAATGCTAATGATTTACTTGTGTAAATATTGCTAAGTAACACTGAGCTGTGGTTTCCTGTTTGTGTCCTCAGTGCATAGGAGGGACGAATGTTCAGCTTCACTTTTTACTTGTGATGTCAGCTTTCATGGCTTGGTTACGGGGATGTGTATCAGATTGTTTCACTGCAAAGATCATTGTTCTCTCTTGGAACCTTTCCTCTGGCAGCAGTGCTCTAAGTTCCGCTCACTGTAAGGGGAGTGCAGAGAGTGCAGCTTCTTGTCTGCTGGGTGCGGGATGGTTGGGAGAAGCATCTAGATACATTTATTACTCCAAGTTCCTCTGTGAGGAAGATTTGTCCTCTCAGTTATTTGCTTATTCAATTATCTGTGTCCAATGTCATAGACTTATTTATGCTTATTTTATATTTTGAGTTGTAATTCAGCATAGATTGAGTTTCTAGTATCCAAAATCCTTGGAACCAGAAGTGTTTTTTTAGATTTTGGAACATTTTCTATACATAATGAGTCAGCTTGGAGATGGAACCAAAGTCTAAGCCTGATGTTAGTCGATGTTTATACACCCCTTAGACACATAGGTTAAGGGGATACCATGGGATATTTTGGGGATACCTGTATTTTGACTGCAACCCCTCACGTGTGGACATGTGTGGAATTTTCTACTTGGGACATCTGGCACTTGAAATGTGTCCCATTCTGAGGCATTTCAGGTTTTCTGACAGGGATGCTCAGCCTGTGTTTGTATACACATTTATTGATTGAATTCTTCCAACTTTGACCATTGGGAGTCCCAGAGATTGTCTACTATGCCTCTTTCAAAGGCTTTTCTTTTTTCTTTGTTTGTTTGTTTGACACATTCTTTTACTTATTTATGTTTTTGGTACTGTCTTAGTTACTTTTTACTCATCACTGAGACAAAATACCTGATGCCCAAAGTTGGGAAAAAGAGATTTATTTCTCACAGTTTTTTGAGGTTTCAGCCCACACTCAGTTGGCTCTAGGCAGGGTGGCAGGGCGGGGCCACACTTCATGACAGCTGCAAACAGCAAAGCAGAAAGGACAAGAGAGAGAGACACACCTTCTTCCAGCCATTACATTGTATGCTGACTCCACCCCTAGGCGGGTGCAGCACTGACACCATCAATCCAAATGCTAGACAGTGAACCAACCATAAATGCACAATGCTATGGCATGAGACCTGGGGGCCACTGACATAAACCATGACAGGTACCGAGGATCGCACTCATGGCCTCAAGCTTGCCAGGCAGGCATTTATGCCGCTGAGCTAAATCCCTGGCCCTGGTTGGCCCAATTCTTATTTTCTCGCACTCTTCATGTATGTTTTCCCTGTCTCAGGTGTGTGGTTACCTGTTTCATTAAGGAGCCAAAGTAGGATTTTCTGCACAGCCGCAGGAAGCGTGAGGTCAGCGCCAATAACAGCTGACAGGGCTGGAGAGATGCAGCGGGCCCGAGACACACTCTGCACAGCTGCTGTGACAGTCAGCTTGGTGAGGACTGAGTTGAGCAGGTAGACAAAGCCAGCTCTCAACATTTGTGTGGCACCAGATCAGTTCCCAGAGCAGTCACCCCTGAGAGCCCAGGGACATCAAGGCGACAAAGTGCTAGGAGCTGAGCTCCAGCTCTGAGACTTGGGGAAAAAGACACCTGGGAGGAAAGTAACTTTTTCAGGGTCTGAATCACCAGCGAAAGGCTGGAAGGGCTTCTTGGTCTGTGTCGACATTTCCAGGCTCTCCATGAAGGCCCCTGGCACACAAGGGTCTTGGCGTGGAGACCCGCAGGACAAGGTGAGGGGGGTGATGCCGTGAAGCGTGGAAATGCCTCCCTGGCCAGGACAGGAGTCTGGGGCTCCTCTGGAGAGAATGGTCTCTGGGGAGGGGTACATAGGATGCGGCTCTATTTCAACACTCACGGATCAGCCAATGAGGGGAGGGCTACTAAGACCCAGCATTCCTCAGTGATCACTGTCTTCAATTCCGGAGAACTGCTTTGGACACCAGGAAAGAAAGGTAGCCCTGTTCCCAGCGGTTGAGATGGAGAAGAGGCTTGGACTTCTGGACAGTTGTCCACAATGAATCTGGATTTGGAATCTGAGGTTCTGAGTTCAAAGCCCAGTGCTTCAATGAATTCATGTTCCACAGTGACGCTAGACAGTAGCTTTAATAGAATAACTGCTCCTTGCTGTTATCTAATCCTGAAGGAACGGCATGCGCTCCATGGAGAAGCCCTATAGGCCTTCACACTGACCTACCTCCCCACCCCTTTTTATATCTGTAGGACACGGTCTCAGCTAAGCCATTAAATTGCCCTGGCTGGGCTGGGATTTGTGCTCCTCCTGCTGAGCCTTCCAGGGTGCTGGAATTACAGGCATGCATCACCTTGCCTGGCTCTGCTCTTGTTTGATTTTGTTTTAATAAAATGGAATATTGTAGATCTCCTTTGCAACCCGGTTTTTCCTCCCACTAAAGGATATACCTTAAATATTTTAATTTGCCAGTAAATATTCTCCATTTCTTTTTGGGAGGAGGGTATTGAACTCAGGACCTTGTGCTTGCCAAACGTGTTTATACCACTGAGCTAAATCCCTGGCCAATATTCTCCATTTCTAACAAGTTTGATGTACTCATTGCATTTTAAATTTTAAGATATTTGACTAAAGTTATTTCTTTAAAAACACTTACCTAATCCGCTGGTGCTAATAATTTTTGGGTATTTTTCTCTTTTGCACCTTTAGTGTCCTCGTGGTTGTATCTTTGAAGTTTATTTTCTTAAACTCCTTGAAACTGCTCTGCTGGATGAAGACTGGTGAGACCCTTAAGACAGCTGAGTACAGTGCGCAGCTGCCTTCCTGAAACATCTCACAACTCAAGCAGCTGTGGACAGTATGGACCTAACATCCCTGCAAACTCTGGATTTTTTAAAACAATGTTTTTATTCATTTAATGAGGCAGAGAGTGTCACAGTTACTTTTCTTGTTGCTGAAACAAAATACATGACACCCAGAGTTAAAGAAAGAAAGATTAACTGTAGCTCACAGTTACAGCAGTTGCAGGTCACAGCTGGCAGGCTCCAAGGCAAGAGAGGCCTGGCTGAGGGCGTCTCAGCGGCGAGGCGACTCATGGCAGGCAGAAGGCAGCAAGCAGCAAGCAACAGGTGACAGGTGGCCAGGGCAGCTGTCTTTCTGTCCCTTATGTTCTCTGTCCAGGCTCCCTGCCCTTAGAGGGGTGGCACTGACATCCAGAGCGGGTCTTCTCATTACCACACTCAGACCTGTGCCAGACCAATCAGTGGACTGGTTCGGTGATCACACACCCTTGATCCCAGCATCACACGTGCCAGCTCCAGCCACCTCTGAAAAGCTCACCTGTGACCACGAGGCTCTGGGGCGATGTCTAGACACAAGCCATGAAGATGGCTATCCTGTTTTTACATCTAACTGTGAGTGCTTGTGAAATTAAGTGTGAGAGAAGAAAATGTTATCTTGTTTTTATATGTAAATTTGGTTACTTGTGAAATTAAATATGTCATGTTTGTTAACCATTTGGTTATTTTTTATTTTAATTGTCTATGTAGATATTTTGCCGATTTCTTTTTTAAATGTTGAAACATTTGATATTTTAAAATGCATTTCAAAGGTGGAAAATCTTTTTTTCTTTTAAGAAGAAGGCATTCACTATGGAAATTTACACCATATGAGGATGAAGAAACGTGTAATAAAGAAAAAGTTCAACAGAAGTGTGGATCACCTCCACTCGTAAAGGTTACTGTGTCTGCAAACAATAATCTGTGTGTGTTTAAACTGGAATCACAGTTCTCATATTATTTAAAATGTAAAATATGCATCAAGCCACTTAGCACATAAAGTCCAATCTAGCTGTGATTATATGGAGAACACGTCTGTACCTCACCCAGATGGACAAGTAACTTGTCACTAACCCTTAGTCCGCCTCCCTAGCCACAGCTGTTGTAAGCAGCAACACACACCTCTAAGGTTGTATTGTATTAGTGCGCCTCTGTGGTGCACCGTGAGCATATCTATCCTGTAGCTGGCGGGGGAACGGCTGTTTCCTGTGGTTTGTTTCCTGCTGTAGTTTGAGTGTGGAGTGTCCTCCAAAGGTATTCTAGGCTTGGTCCCCAGTGTGCCAGTGTTCAGAGAAACACCTCAAGACAATTTAAAACTTTTCATGAGTACATGTTTGGAGGACATAATGATTGCATTTATGTCGGGAGGTCGGACGGGTACACATCTGACTTTTTTCTGTCTCTTTTCCTCGCCGTCCTCTCTGCTCCCTCCAGGTCTTGCTCCTCTTCCCATTTGTGAAAGCTCTATTTCCATTTACCTTCGCCTGTCTCTTTTTTAAATACACCTTTTCCCTTCCTTCCCCCACTCCCCATCTTTCGCTCCCATTCCCATTTGAAAAAGCTCCCCTGCTCCCTATTATCTGGCTTCTGTTTTGCTCTATATTTATACTTTGGATTTGTCATTTAGGAGAAACTCTGTGACATTTAAGCTGTGTGTCTGATTTATTTCACTTAAAATTATGGTCTTGAGGTGTACCCATTTCCCTACAGATGCCTCAGATTTATACTTCTTGGCCGAACAGAATTCCACATTGAGCTAAATGCCCAGCCCCCTCTTTTTTGTTTTGTACCAGGGATCGAACTCATGACCTCACGCTTGCCAGGCAGGCGCTGGTGCTGCTGAGCTAAGCCCCCGCTCACATTTTCTTTATGCATTCCTCAGTTATGGGCATAGAGACTGTTTCCAGGATTTAGCTATTATAAATCGTGCGCTATACACATGGGGGTGCGTGGATCACTGTGGTGTGGTTACTTTAACTTGAGAAGGTACGAAAAGGGAATGGCTGTGTCAAATGGAATTTCTAGTTCAGTTCTTTGGAGGAACCTCCGTGCTGATGACCGTACCGCCCACACTGGTGCACATCTCTGCCAAGAGTGGGAAGGGATCCTTCTCCCCGTGGCCTCGCCAGCTTTTCTTCCCCCTGATTTCCTGGTGTAGCCCTTCTCTCAGGAATAAGAGCCTCAGTGTCGTTTTAATTTGCATCTCTCTAATGGCAAGTGATGGGGACAATTTTCCACATGACTATTGGCCATTTCGGCTTCTTTTGAGCGGTAGCTATTCATTTCCATCAGCATTTTTTTCACTGAGTCTTTATTTTGGGAGGTCCACATTTTTTTGAGTTCTTTATATATACTAGATGTCAGTCCACTGTCTGAGGAAAAGCTGGCAATTTTTTCCGATTCTAAGAATAAACATTGGGAAGGAGGAAGAACATGTTCAGATGGAAAGAGGGACACAGGATGGGAAAGGAAGCAAGAAAACACAGGTGAGAATGAGAGTGGGAAGAAAAATGGGAATAAATCATTTGTAAGTGGGGAGGGGAAGAATGGTTGAAGAGAGGGAAAGAGAACAGGGCTCCCCTGGGAGAGAAGACAGCTGGCTACGAGGGGCCCCAAGGAGTTCGCAGTTCACAGAACAAAGTGGTGGAGAGGACCGAGCTGCCCAGACAGAGCGCCTGGGGGGTCTGGGGAGAGCCCTGCTCAGGCGCTCAGCTGAGCAGATGAAGGTGCAGCCTTGCGCTCAGGACAGACCACCTGCATGGGGAGAGGGGACTGTCTGGGGCCGACCTAGTGCCAGGACAACGTGTTGGAAAACAGCAAGATTCACACAGCGCCGGGTAACTACACAGAGGCGGCTTACCTGGGGGTGGGGGGTGGGGGCGTGTTAGCCTGGGCCCAGCACTGCTCCAGGAACGCCAACCTTACTTTAAAACCGAGCCCTGGGTGAGCAAGCTGTTCAAATCAACATCAGTGCCTCTGAGAGCCAGGATCAGGGTAGCTGTGAGAACACACAAACTTTTGGCACCCCACAAGGTAAAACTCCCATCGTGTGTCATCTAGTAAGAATGGCCAGGCACGTAAAGGAGTGGGAAAATGGATGCGGAAGCAGAAGTCAAAAGAAATGGTATCTGGAGAATCTCCTAATAGTATCTGGAAATTAATCGCATACCTCTAACTTACCAGAAGCTCAAAGAAGCGCTCACAAGGGCAATTACCAACACAATTATGGAAACAATATATTAAAATCTGGAAGATGAAGTCAAACTGTGTACAGGAAACCTTAAAGTTGTAAGTATTAGAATTAGGAAGATAAGTGTGCTGCAAACTTTTGGACCAAACTGCCAGCATAAAAAGTTAGGGAAGGAATAGAAAATTGAACTCAACCTAATTAGAAATGATGCAATGATAAAAAAAATAAGATTTGAAATGAATGAAACAGAAAACAACAAAACCCAAACCCTACACTGGTTATGCATAACATGCCAGGATTTAAAAACAAGTAAGAAACAAGGCCGCACACACACAAAAAGGGAAGAAAAAGGCTGAAGAGACAAAGCCATCAAATCAGTCTCAAATACGACCCAGATGTCATATGTAAGCAATAAGTAGGAAATTTAAAATAACTATGATTAAAATGTTGAAAGGTCAATAGGGGAAGCGTAGACAACACGCAAAATCAAATGGTAATTCCAACACATATAAAATATTAGAAACATGAACAGCAGAAAAGCCCATAGTCACACAGAAACCTCTCCTCCTCTAAGATGTGTGTGCTGTGTATTGTCTCAGCAATGAGAGTGGGGGTCATGGTCGGGTATTTTGTAATATTCTCTTCTATTTGGGGCTCTCTTTCACTTCATGAGCATCCGGTCATTTTGGTTTTTGCAGAAGAATCCCCACACGGGTGACATACATCGTGCCATTGCAGAGATACATGATTTAGCAGGACCTGTCACAGGGGGTGCTGACTTCCATCACCTGGTTCGGGTGACAGTCACCAGGGTTGTCCACCACGAAGAGGATCCTTCCCTTTCTATAATCTACACTTTGTCAGAAAGTACGGATTCCTGCTCACCCTCCGGGGGAGGAGAGGAGTCAGCCTCCATTCTGGTGGTGGGGATGGGAGTGAAGCAGCCTGATGCATTCCTGGGAAGTCTGTAAGGAAAGGTGCCTCCTTCTCTCACCTGTCTGCTTATTCAATTGCTTGTTTGTAATCCATGTATTCTTACTTATGTGACTTTCATACTTTGAGTCATAATCCCATATTGACTGAGTATTCTTATCTGAAATGCTTGGGATCAGAAGTGTTACATGTGTTTCCAGATTTTGAAATGTTTTATGTTTTGTGGTACCGTTGGGGAGAGCATGTAAGTCTAAACCTGAAATTAGCTTCTGGTCCATGTACAAATTACACCCATAGGCGGGAGGTAATTGATGTGCTATTTTTATGGTGGCTGCATTTTGACTGCAGTGTCATGTAAATTCAGCTGTGGAATTTTTCCCTTTGTGACATCATCCTGTCCCTCAAAAGTTTTGGTGTTTTGGAACATTTTGGAATGCTTATTAGGGGTGCTCAAACTGTACTCCATGACTCATTTTGTTGCTGGAACTGCTCCAGGCTTCCTCCCTTCCCTCCTCCCTTTTCTCCTTCCTTCCTTCCTTCCTTCCTTTTCTTTTGGGCATGTTCTTCCTTTCTTGTACTATATGGTGCTCTAGATTCACCTTGTTTTCCTGTACCAGGGCCAAAATCAGCTATTTTTTTTTACAAGAAGCCAAACCCAATCATTTTTGACCCACAACACAATAAGCACGAGGTCCAGAGCGACCAGAAGACGACCCATTCTGAGGCTCACAAGGAAGAGTTGGTGTCCATTCTCCTGTGTTAGCACTCAGAGCTCTCCAGATGGACAAAGCCAGCTCTCAACATCCGTGTGCCAGGAAGCCAAGGCTCCGAGCACAGTGGTTGCTGAGTGTCACCTACACCGTCAGATACTGAAAGATGAAGCTGTGCAGGAGACATTGCTGTTTTTAACAAGTGGTTGTTTGGAAACTGCCCAGCTCTGTAACTGCTCCTTGGCTTTGTAATCACTTTCTGGAACCACGCGAGCCTAACTGAACATGCGGTGTGCCTGATGGGACCCCTGTCACCAGCACTGTGACCTTGTGACTGATGAGCTCACCCTGCTAGCTGGGCAGAAGAACGACCAGGCTGTCCTGTCCGGCCTTTGCGCCTCCTGCTTGTGCATCATATGGAAAGCCCCGGATCACCAGAGATCAGGGTTGATACGCTGGGAAGGATCTCGACCAGTGTCTGTCAATGTGAATAAATCCGCCACCAAATGCAGGGAGTTGTCTTGGTGGTTCTGCTTGCCACTGCAATAGAAAGTCCTAGAAAGTCCAGCATCTCCCTGAAGCAACACGAGATGATACGACACAGGGTGACAGGACCATCTGTAGAAGGTCACCATCCCCTGCAAGTGGCCAGAAGGGCTTCTTGGTCTGTGGCGACATTACCAGGCTCTCCATGAAGGCCCCTGGCACACAAGGGTCTCGGCGTGGAGACCCGCAGGACAAGGTGAGGGAGATGATGCCGTGAAGTGTGGAAATGCCTCCCTGGCCAGGACAGGAGTCTTGGGCTCCTCTGGAGAGAATGGTCTCTGGGGAGGGGTACATAGGATGCGGCTCTATTTCAACACTCACCCAGCAGCAGTCAAATTTTCTCTTAATTGGCTCCCAAACTGAGTTCTCTTAATTGGCTCCCAAAGGTTGAGGCACACAGGATGGGAATTGCCTGTGGGGCAGAGGGAGTGCCCTCGCCCGGGAGTCTGGAAGGTGGCTCCTGGCTCAGGCCTGGTCCCTGGGAACTCAGGCCC